AAGATTTCTAAAACATGTAATTTGAAATTCTATACTGAAATATTAATTTCAGATAGAAAAATAAAAAACAAAGGGATGGACAACTCAATAAATCAAAATTAAATTAATAAAAATATTAAATTAAAGAAATCATCAATAACTGTAGTTTATATATATTATGATAGAACGCAGACAGGCTATAATTAAAAGAACCAAAACTTCAGATTCTTGGAGATATAATCAAGGGAAATTCAAACATTTTTTTGCGAAATCAGAGAATAATCCTCAAGTCTCTTAATAGATATTTTTCATAAAAAAAAGCATACTTTTAATTATTGATTTTTTATTTAAAATTATTTCAAGATTAGAGATAAAATTATATTGAAAAACATGATAAAAAAAATATAGTTATAAAAAATTAAAGAATATTTTGTTTAACTTGAGTCTACTAGACCATTTTGCAAAGTCCTGAAGAGGTCATAAAGAGATTATATATTAAAACGACATTATTAGTATAAAAAAATGTTCAAAAATAATGATACTTTAAACCCACAATAAGTTGTTTGCTAATTCTACTAACTTTGTTATCTTTTCTAAATTGTTTAAGAAGATACTTCCCCAAAAAAAAATACCATAAGATGGTCATCTTTAAGCAATTTGATCATTATTGTCTTCCGAATATTTGAAAATTCTTTTAATAATATTATAAAACAGAAATGTGTGTGCAGTTATTTTAAAAAGATAAAGTGTTTTCTTCATTCATTCCTTTCTTTTCTTTTTTATTTTACATCTAACATAATAATAGTTTGAGATTAAGATATATTTATTGTTGTATATAAAAGGAGTATCTCACTAGTACAATATTTGGTTTTAAACTCACACAATATACATTATTTCACACCAAACCGCTGTCTATCAAAATACAGTGACAAAAGTGAAATTAAGAGGACCTTATAGACCTCGGTTGCTTGCAGGACTGAAGCAGAAAAATGCTACGACCTCGGTTACAAGAAGAACCGGTGCCTAAAACCCCTGAAAACTTTTTGAAAAGTTGATACTACCTCGATTGCATGCAAAACCGAGGCATAAAGCCTCTGCCACACCTGCAGCTCCCTGAATACGCATTGAACACGCTTCTATGTATATTCTTGTAAATATAACTATGTTTATTTATTTTTATATCACTTATTTTAAAGGAGAGTGTAGGCATTAACAATTTACTGAATAGAGTATATTAAACATGTTTTTTTTCCAAAATTTGACCCAACAAAGAGTTCGTTATATATCCATACATAGCACATGGGTTGCATAATTGCCATTTGCAAATTAATTTATGACTTAATTAACACCATCATCACCACTTTCAGTGTAAACCTAAAAAAGGGCCAAAACTTTTGGTGCAACAGAAAAATAAATTGAACAGGTTTTGGATGGCTTTATTAGGTTTGGAAAACATGAAAAACATGTTAAATACAAAAGTAGTATTTCCATATTTTCTTCATCATTCTAAGTTAGTAAACCAAATTATTAAGAAAAGATCATGAGTACTTATGCACATGTTCCTATTAGGCAAACGTCTCTATTAATTTGCGGCAAATTATTTGAATACTAGATTAACTGTCTAAACAAATAGTTTTTAAAATCAAATTATGGAAAAAAAGTTTAAATTTATTCATAGTCATTGAATTTGTATTTAATATAATTAATTACTAGGATCAAATAAATAAAATAAAAAGATAGAAAATTTGGTAAACTTCCTCTATAAAATCCATTTTCTGAACTGTAATCATAAAAGAACAATTTTCTTATCACTTATCTAACTATTTAGAAGAATAAGAAAAAAAAACTTATATTTCTCTCACAAAGAATTAAAGCTTTTTTCCTCAAAGTTAATCCCACACTAAACTTAATACTACTATATTGGGTTTAAATAAAGTCTTTTTTTTTTTAAATAAATATTTAAATATTGTCCTTAGGTATCATCCATGAATCAAAGACTAGAAGAGTTACTAACATATTACAACTAAAAATTGTACAATTCTAAGTTTTTACAACTAACTTTTCATGTATGTTATATTTGTTTACTTTTTATTTTCTCATCATGTTACTAATTATATCTACTCTTCTTTATTTTTCATTTGCTTACTTTATCTTATTAAGATATGGAAAAAAATGAAAATAAAATTTTGATAATTTCAAAATTTAATACATTCAAAGTCACATGTTAATAACTTACGTGACATCATCATAGTGCGGCCACTGACAGGTAACCGATTATATTTTTAAATTAATTTGTGTTCACATATTAATTAAATATTGGTATCCACTTTCACTTTAAGGAACAACCTTAGTCACTTACACGTTTTTCCATAAAGGAACTTTGCTCCTCAAAGTAGTTAAACGTCCCTCAAAGTAGTTAATATTACAAGTATTTTCATTCACTAATATCAGTAATTGATATTATTACACCTAATAACAGTAGATATTCAATTAACTAATGATAAAGATTGAGAAATTAAAAAAAAATTGTGAAAAGTATATATTACAATTCGACAAATCTTAAAATTAAAGGAGAAAAATGTGTATACCCCTATTTTTAATATATGAACAAAATTTTTAAAGGGATTTCATGAGCAGAAAGTGATTACTTTTGTAATAGAAAAAACAAAAAGTGGAAGCAGTTCAATGATTTGGGCATATTCAGGATGTTATAATTTTTTTAGGAATGATTTTTGTTACAATGATTCAGTAAATTCAAACCCCTCTCGATTAAACTAGTTAATATTTTTAAATAAATTAGATTTAATATTAACCAAACCAATACAATCTGTGGTTATTAGTTGGAACATGGAATTTGTGATTTATAAATTCAATAAATCCAAATCAAATTAATAATGATTTTTGTATTAATAATTATCATGCACAAAATGTTATGGTACAATATTTTATTCATTTTTATACTTTTTGCTATCTAGTTTTTAAAAATTAATTATAAAAAAAATATGTTATTTACATATTTTTAATAACAAGATTACAGTATGCTTTTGCCTAGAATTATACTTTTACCTCAAAATAAAAATAAAAAACATTTATTTAGTAAGAGATCCAATTAATCTGAACTGAACTTAATGTTTTTTCATTGAATTGATTTAATTCGGATTGTAAAAATAAAAAATAATTGGCTTAAATTTTATTTCACCTCAAATCCATAAAATTTTTTGGCAACTCTAACTTTTACATTAATAAATCGATAAAGGGCATGTTGAGAATGTGATCTTTAAGGCATCTACCGGGATTTTGCAGCTAAAAAGTTCTAAACTTGGGGTCTACTTTTGAGGCTACCACTGCCACATGCTCAAATCTCAAATGCTGAAATGGACCTGGCCAATAAGGATTCAGTTTTAGATGGAGAACTTTAGGCCACAAATCTCGGCACCAAAACATTCTCAGCCACAAACTCATAAAAAGTCTCTATCTTTCTTCCTTTTTGCTTGCTCACAACTGTCTCTCAGAAGATTAGCACAAAATGGTACTTCAACTCGCTATATATTAAGCCTTTCTTAAAACTGTTTATCAAATGAAACTTGTCACTTGATCACTCAAAACCACACCCTTCAGAACCGAAAATTTTCTGTGAACCCCGCAAACCTCTTGCCAAGTTTTGTTTTGTTTTGTTTGTCACTCAAAATTCTGTGAACCCTACTAAACTTCTTACCAAGTTTTTGTTTTGTTTGTCACTGAGTACTGTAATCTCCAACTGGGTTGGTTTGTTTTCATCAATCAGAAGTCTGATTCTCTCGCTTCATAAGCCATAGAAAGGTATGTTCTTTTCAACCCCTCTTTCGATTATTATATGTGAAAAAGTTTTCTCGATGAATTTAAGGAAATTCAACAGTTTAGAGGAAGTTTTTCTGTTTTTCTCTTTTCATTTTCTATGAGGGTGTCAAAGATATATGGTGATTAGTGCTAGTTTCATCAAGTTTCTAACTTTCGCAGTTTTTTCCTTTTTTTTTTTGTTTTTTCCAACATTTTGAAGGGTTAAATGAAGTGGGATTTCATTCTTTGATAAAGACAGGGAAGGGTAAAGACTAAGGATTTTATTTATAATTGAAGGGAAACTCATGAAAACTATTGATCATCATACCTAATTTTTGTTTGTCTGAGTCAATAAATTCAGCATATTTCCATTTGAAAAGGGCATCTTTTACTTGCTAATCTTCAAACATTTTGAACATTATACAGACTATTTGGCATGGATTTGTACTATGGATGTGAAAATGGTGAATATTTTTTACCAAAAGATCAAGAAGATTTACTGGAAAGGTATTCTTCAGCAGGGTGTTGGTCAGAATGGGGAATAAAAGCACCTGAATGCCTTAATTCAACTGAGGAGTATTTGACCAAGAACACAGAAGAGACAGAGGTAGAATTCAATTTCATTGATAAAAGTTTCAAAGATGAAATTGAGTTTGACCCTTATCTACAAGACAAAGATCAATCTAGCAGCTCAAGTGTGTGTGGAGGATTGTCTGAGCAATTTCAACAAACAGCACTCTCGTGTGATCGTCAGTCCAAATACGAGCTTCAAGACCTATCGACTTTCGAACATGTGGATGACTTTTTCTNCACCAACACTATAGAGTATTAAGTTTATTGTGTGATTACTTTGGGGGGAAAAGCTTTTATTATTCCTTTTTTTTTAAATAAATATTTAAATATTGTCCTTAGGTATCATCCATGAATCAAAGACTAGAAGAGTTACTAACATATTACAACTAAAAATTGTACAATTCTAAGTTTTTACAACTAACTTTTCATGTATGTTATATTTGTTTACTTTTTATTTTCTCATCATGTTACTAATTATATCTACTCTTCTTTATTTTTCATTTGCTTACTTTATCTTATTAAGATATGGAAAAAAATGAAAATAAAATTTTGATAATTTCAAAATTTAATACATTCAAAGTCACATGTTAATAACTTACGTGACATCATCATAGTGCGGCCACTGACAGGTAACCGATTATATTTTTAAATTAATTTGTGTTCACATATTAATTAAATATTGGTATCCACTTTCACTTTAAGGAACAACCTTAGTCACTTACACGTTTTTCCATAAAGGAACTTTGCTCCTCAAAGTAGTTAAACGTCCCTCAAAGTAGTTAATATTACAAGTATTTTCATTCACTAATATCAGTAATTGATATTATTACACCTAATAACAGTAGATATTCAATTAACTAATGATAAAGATTGAGAAATTAAAAAAAAATTGTGAAAAGTATATATTACAATTCGACAAATCTTAAAATTAAAGGAGAAAAATGTGTATACCCCTATTTTTAATATATGAACAAAATTTTTAAAGGGATTTCATGAGCAGAAAGTGATTACTTTTGTAATAGAAAAAACAAAAAGTGGAAGCAGTTCAATGATTTGGGCATATTCAGGATGTTATAATTTTTTTAGGAATGATTTTTGTTACAATGATTCAGTAAATTCAAACCCCTCTCGATTAAACTAGTTAATATTTTTAAATAAATTAGATTTAATATTAACCAAACCAATACAATCTGTGGTTATTAGTTGGAACATGGAATTTGTGATTTATAAATTCAATAAATCCAAATCAAATTAATAATGATTTTTGTATTAATAATTATCATGCACAAAATGTTATGGTACAATATTTTATTCATTTTTATACTTTTTGCTATCTAGTTTTTAAAAATTAATTATAAAAAAAATATGTTATTTACATATTTTTAATAACAAGATTACAGTATGCTTTTGCCTAGAATTATACTTTTACCTCAAAATAAAAATAAAAAACATTTATTTAGTAAGAGATCCAATTAATCTGAACTGAACTTAATGTTTTTTCATTGAATTGATTTAATTCGGATTGTAAAAATAAAAAATAATTGGCTTAAATTTTATTTCACCTCAAATCCATAAAATGTTTTGGCAACTCTAACTTTTACATTAATAAATCGGTAAAGGGCATGTTGAGAATGTGATCTTTAAGGCATCTACCGGGATTTTGCAGCTAAAAAGTTCTAAACTTGGGGTCTACTTTTGAGGCTACCACTGCCACATGCTCAAATCTCAAATGCTGAAATGGACCTGGCCAATAAGGATTCAGTTTTAGATGGAGAACTTTAGGCCACAAATCTCGGCACCAAAACGTTCTCAGCCACAAACTCATAAAAAGTCTCTATCTTTCTTCCTTTTTGCTTGCTCACAACTGTCTCTCAGAAGATTAGCACAAAATGGTACTTCAACTCGCTATATATTAAGCCTTTCTTAAAACTGTTTATCAAACGAAACTTGTCACTTGATCACTCAAAACCACACCCTTCAGAACCGAAAATTTTCTGTGAACCCCGCAAACCTCTTGCCAAGTTTTGTTTTGTTTGTCACTCAAAATTCTGTGAACCCTACTAAACTTCATACCAAGTTTTTGTTTTGTTTGTCACTGAGTACTGTAATCTCCAACTGGGTTGGTTTGTTTTCATCAATCAGAAGTCTGATTCTCTCGCTTCATAAGCCATAGAAAGGTATGTTCTATTCAACCCCTCTTTCGATTATTATATGTGAAAAAGTTTTCTCGATGAATTTAAGGAAATTCAACAGTTTAGAGGAAGTTTTTCTGTTTTTCTCTTTTCATTTTCTATGAGGGTGTCAAAGATATATGGTGATTAGTGCTAGTTTCATCAAGTTTCTAACTTTCGCAGTTTTTTCCTTTTTTTTTTGTTTTTTCCAACATTTTGAAGGGTTAAATGAAGTGGGATTTCATTCTTTGATAAAGACAGGGAAGGGTAAAGACTAAGGATTTTATTTATAATTGAAGGGAAACTCATGAAAACTATTGATCATCATACCTAATTTTTGTTTGTCTGAGTCAATAAATTCAGCATATTTCCATTTGAAAAGGGCATCTTTTACTTGCTAATCTTCAAACATTTTGAACATTATACAGACTATTTGGCATGGATTTGTACTATGGATGTGAAAATGGTGAATATTTTTTACCAAAAGATCAAGAAGATTTACTGGAAAGGTATTCTTCAGCAGGGTGTTGGTCAGAATGGGGAATAAAAGCACCTGAATGCCTTAATTCAACTGAGGAGTATTTGACCAAGAACACAGAAGAGACAGAGGTAGAATTCAATTTCATTGATAAAAGTTTCAAAGATGAAATTGAGTTTGACCCTTATCTACAAGACAAAGATCAATCTAGCAGCTCAAGTGTGTGTGGAGGATTGTCTGAGCAATTTCAACAAACAGCACTCTCGTGTGATCGTCAGTCCAAATACGAGCTTCAAGACCTATCGACTTTCGAACATGTGGATGACTTTTTCTTGTACAAGCGTAACTTCTGGGACTAAGATTCTTGGTTTTATGCCTGTATGATAATGAAATCATGTAGCATCTCAAACATTCTTGCACTGTATCAAGTCCAGTACAAAATGAATTTCTCTGTGGAGTTTTTTGATTGCAAATTTCACCATATTTATCATAATGATTAGAGCCAGTACAGACTAACACTATCATACTTATTTGTTCCCAGAACTCTATAAGAATGAACCTGTTATAGCATGGTAAGGGCTCTATTTTCTTTAATAATTCTAGAATGAAAATTCTTTTTTTACTTTTTCATTACATATGTAAATCAATACAGACATTCAATATTCACTTTCTTACCATAAGCATGAAGTTATTCAAATTCATGTGAACATATTTTGTCTGACAGTCTTCACATGTTTCTCATAATGCAGGGATTCTGTACTTGAAGATTTTACCTGTGTTGAAAACCTTCACAAATCTTTCCTTTATCCTGAGAACCCAAGCAGCAACACCAACGGTGATCAATACGTTTTAATGTGTGAACAAGTAATTAAAAAATATTTATTATATGGATGTACAAGCTACTAATTAGTTATTTCTCTATCAGATGCAGTGCACAAAGATGTTGCAGCTTCAGGGTTTGTTTCTTGCAACTCTGACTCTAAGGATTGCCTGGATATAGAGGTAATAATTACCTTACCTTCTGTTAGTACTTGAATATGTTGTTTCCGAATCATGAAATTTGTAGTCAGTGAAGAAGTTTGTAATCATATCAAATTGGTCATTATGTGCTGTGAACCTAATTGTTTGCAGTAACATGTATGCATGCACAACTATAATTTGTATGGACAAAACTTTGGATACAGTTTCAAGTGTTAGTGGCCTTGTTCTCTAATCGAACCGAAGTCCACCTATGGCAAGTCTGCATAATCCTTTAATTCTTATTTTTACTACACTAATATTGAGGTGAAACTCTATTTCTGATTTGAGAAAGTACCAGCAGAGTTTAGGAAGTGTATCTAAATTTCGAACAATGTTAACTTCTGTATTGTGGAGACACTTTTATGTTTACAAACTTTGCTGTGCTTAAGTATTTCTTCTCAATTTTTACTCTACCGCGAAGACCATGTTATCCAACAATTTCTTTTGTTTAACCTTAGGATTTGACATCATGAAAGGCAGAAAAAGAGAAGTACTATACCTTATGTGTACTAGTATTTCTTGTTTGTGTAGTATTTTGTGGAGTATAAAGTAGGCATGATTGGACATGTCATTTAAACTAACAAACTAATTTGCATACAAATTCTTATTGCAATGTAATTTTTTTTTTCTCTTACAAGCACGTACGATCAAATCTTGACCTTTTGAGCCAGTCTTCTAATGGACAAGATCATGCCTGAGAAGTTATCCTTGGGAATGGTACCTCTGGGCTTTGAGATGTTAGTTTGCACAGTTTTTGACTGAGACGAGTTCCTGGCATGAACAGAATCAATAATATAGAATGCTACTACACACTATTTTTCTTTTTTTCAACAACTCTATCATTGCTTGAAGTCTTATTCCCAAACTAATAATTCGAATCTCTCACTCACCCCTAATCTAGTGATACTCGTGGATTTCACTAAATAACAAATAGTGTGATGAAAAAAAGTGTATTACTAGCATTTATCATGCAATGATACTTGTTGGTAACTTTTTCTCCCTATCAATCATGATTAGTTCACAGAAAAGACTCGCATCTGCTTCCGAGATGCCCTGTTTCGCCTTGCCAAAAATACAAACAGCATGCAGTAGAGAACTTGGATGGAGATCTTAACATGCATCAAGAAATGCCACACTCAGTTCATTTGAAACCGGAGGTACATGTTTACTTATTGTTGCAAGCCTGTTATGTGTCTTTGATGCCGAACAGTTCTACTCTTTGTTATTTGATGATAGCATAAACCTTCTGCTTGGTTTGCCCTGAAACTACTCATCACAAATTGAACTCGTTACTTACCTTTTCTATACTCTTTTTTTCGGGGCATGAAATATGGTTTTACCGTTTTTAAAGCATATTCTCATATTGGGAATATTATGATCAAATAATTCTATTCTCTCAGTCAAATTTTTGCATACCAGTTCATTCTTCTGTAACTCTGTAGACCAGGAGTTTGGTGTGGCTAATACAACACAAGTCCCATAATAAGTATACGTTTCTGGCTTTCCACGAAATACTTAAAAGATGAAAACCCTTGGTTGAAATGTTGCAGGTCTGTGGACAAGAAACCAATGGAATCAGAGACCAACATTGTTGACAGGGCAGTTGCAAACCTCATGTTCAACAAGATGGAAATTAACATACTAGATATCCCTTTTACAACACTAGTTAACATGAAGCGAGAAGTTACTGGAAGTAAAGTTCTTCAAGAACAAAGCTCAAAAGCCTTGGATGTGACACAAAAATCTCATTCTCCTCACCCAGAAAAGTTACCTGCACATGCATAGGTTCCAAGGATGAACATGTAAAGCAGAGAATCATATATTGCCATGAAGATCCTCTAAGAAGTCATTCATGCTTGAGTTTAGTTAAATGATGTTTTTGTAGCTGCTTCCTAGTATCTAAACCAAAAAAAAAAGTAGAAAAACTAATTTCCTGTAATTATGCAACCCCTTAAAGTGGCAAGGAATTTTCCCTAGTTTTGGCTTCTGATATCTCCATGTACATATGCTTTGTGTCACATTGTTATTTGTCTGCAGCTTCTATTCTATATATCTGGCTCTAGTCCATAGTTCAATTTTGATTAGAATGTAGTTGATTAGCTAATAGAAAACTGCAACTAGAGAAGCAAGAATGGTAGTCAGTTTTCAGGATTCTCGAGTGTTCCTGAGTATTTTCTTTAGTGAAAATGATGATGATGAAGCAAGAACAATGCGTCATTGCGCTTTTATTTAATTTTAATATTTTATAACACTTATCATGAGTTGAAATAATTAGTAACGTCCCTAAAAGTCTTGCATATTCTGTAATATAAACAATAATATAGGACTTTCTTCTTACAAAATGGTTGAAAAAAAATGGAAGAAAATGCTTGGAAAGTAAATGGAAGATGTAACATGCCTAACATATTAGAAAGGATTTGAGGGTGTCCACTAGTGGACTTAATTTCAACAATTTAAAATAAGGCAAATTTACCTTTTTATTTATATTTACATTGACTTCAAGAAGTGTTCATTTCCCGTTCTTTTTTTTAGGGGGATAAAATTATTGTATGCTAAAATCTGAGGGAAAAAAAATGGGAAACAATATCATTTTTTTTTCTTAATAAACTTGATTTCAAAAGGTTGACTTTTGTATATGTTTTGATTACTTGTGAGTTCTTAGACACTTTGGAGGATCCAATTAATTAAATTGCTTTCAGATTTTTTTAGTTTGCCATTTAATTTATTCCATGTTAAATTGTCAATGAAGATTGAAAATACTAATAATAAAATATGAATAATTTAAAGGCTTTTAGTTACTTTGATCTTAATATATATAACCACTAATGCCCAATATTTTCAATTCTATAAATTAAACACAAACCTACCATGCATACAAAACTCAATATCATCGACGTTTAGCTAGATTAATGTCTGACATTATGAAAATTTATTTAGGATATGTTTGATATAAGTTAAGATTTTTGATTTTTCTAGGAAAAGTCTAGATTTTCCTTTTTAAAAATAAGGATTCCAAACAAAATTAAAAATCACTTGATTCCTCACAAATAAATTCGTGAATAATCTTCCTTGTGATTAAGATTACAAAATAATTCATACTAAAAATGCTTGCACCAATAAACGGAAAATATTTAAAATTTAAGTGTTTTTTTATCCATCCAATTGTTATGGATATCATATTACGTAACTCGTAGATACTTTGCACGGAATTTAGGCTTTAGAATATAGTTTTATATATTTGAGCTTATACTTTTAGAGAAGGTGTTTTTTAGTTAATCTACATAATTTATTTTTATAAAAATGTGATAACTTTATTCACTAATAAATGGAAATAAAATACAGGATAAATTTCTATATATAACCAAACCTTTATCATCCAAAATTTAATTATCTAGTTTGTGTGACTATATTTCACCACACATTATTAATATTATCACAATATTTTCAATTGATTTTAATTTTTTTAATATAAATTAGAAATTCAGTCCCTTTCAACACCAGAGTCGAAGAATTTGTTTAAAAGGAAAAAAAGAAAAAGGGAAAGATCGTAGAATATAATGAAATGTTCTGGTGCGGGCACGTGGGTATTCAACTATGTCTAAAATTGCGCATAAAATTTTTGGAACCTAAACTCAGATTTGATTTGATTATTGAGGCACTTAGTCAAACTTCACACATACTTAATTCGTTTTTGTCAGTGATATTATTAATTATTTAAAAATAAAAACTTATTAAAGAATTAAAATTGAAAACTTTTTTTTTTTCAAAGTTTATGTCTATTTTTATATGATACACTCAAATAATTATTTTTATTAACAATTTTAGAATATTATTATCCCAAATTTCAATACACTCTAGCAATATTCTCGTAAAACACGTGCGTTTTGTAAATTCTTGATTCTTCAGAATAACACATATATTTCTTAGTACTACATCAAGCTTCACAATTTCGAGAGGAAACGAGAGGTCAATTTTATTATTCAAATATTCAATTTTTTAGAAAAAGAATAATATATACATAAAATAAAATTTATTATTTAAAACATTACTTAACCATTTTAACTTTAATTTTAATTAAATATTTAGTTTAAAATTAAATCAACCTTTTACACTCTCGTTTAATCATTGTCATATTATAAATTAAATTTCTCTAGTATTAATAAAAAATAATATTTAAATAAAAAAAACTCTCGCTCAATTTAATTAAACATTTTTCAAATTTAAAATGAAAAAAAATCAACTCTATCTCTCATTTAATCAAGTTCACATTGAAAGCTTAATTTTTCTAACATTAATAAAATAAAATAAAATTTACACTAAATTATTGAAATGGTCTGTATTCTTAATTAATTTTTCTATTTAAATTAATTTTATCTAACAAATATTTTTTTCCTTCTTTCTTTTGGATAGATAAACCTGTCATCACGAGGTGGGATTTGTTTTTAAGTGATATGATTATATCTACTTTCAAAGATGAAGTCCAAATAGATTAAACTAACCCATTCTATATTTGACAATTACTTATCAGTTTATATATTGAAGCATATAAATAAGAAGTGAAAATAAAATATAAAATATAATGAATATAATAAATGATGTAATAAACAAATAAATAAGATGAAATAAAATAGTTGAATGTTTTATAAATTTTAGTTATGCTTTTGGTTCTTAATATTTGAGATAAATATTATCTTTCAAATGAAAAAAGAAAACTCAATCTCCTCTGAAATAAAAAACATATGTAGATCACGAGAGGTTAATGTATGTGAGCAGAATATATTTTCCCAGGAAAAAAAAAGACATAAATGTTGAGCGGATACTTTTGTTTTAATAACTGAGATCAAAGGGATCGAAATATGTTACTAAATTTAACTCAAACACTCATAAATAAATAAATGAAAATGGACTCACCTTATAAATAGTTTTATATTATTATTCAAAATTAAGTTATTACATATGGCAAGTTTGTCTTGACATCAACTTTGTTTGAATTAGACTAAAAGAAATAGTGTTTTGGAGGTGCGGTCGAGATTAACATACGGATTAGTGTGATATAAGTTGTAAAAGGATCTAGATGTTCGTCCTCAATTATCGTTCGTATGTTATGTTAGAAAGTTACTTAGAGAAGGTACTTCGATATCAAAATCAATAAATATTTGATTGCTTAAGCAATTAATGGGTCATTACCTATTTCTTTATCTTAAATATGTATTTATAGATTTGGAATGAATTTTGGATAAGTGATAGTTTAATTATGACTCACTTGATAATAATCATACTTTGTTTTAGATTGATCAATGTTAGAAGTAATTTGTATATGGACTGATCATTCAGCTTATTAAATACAGTCACATGGAAATAATACATGGATATATTTATGGTATGATTAACCGTTTGGACAGTCTAGTCTAAAGTTAACCAAACTATCATATTGTACAAATAGAAAAAGAAAATAATAAAAATATATAATTGATACAATAGAATAACATTAATTAAAAGAGTGTTTTCAATTTTTTGAATGGGTGACAAAGAAAAAAAAAACTAAAGTTAATTATTTTCTTTTAACACAAATTATATTAAAAAAAAGGTTTAATGTCTCAAAAATTAAAAAAATATAATTCAGTCACGTTTTTAATGCCACATAATAAAAATTACACTGTCAGCATACCTTTCTTAACGGCGTCATCTCAATTTGAGAGAAAGGTCCTATTTGATTCAATTTTACAAAAATAAAGACTTAATTGAGATGCCGAAAAAAAAGAGAACTATTTTATATTCTGGATAAAAATAGGGACCTGGTGAGACATTAAACCTAAAAAAACACTTACTTAAAATAAAGAAATAAAGAAATAGAGAAAATTATAAAATGTGACAAGTGATATAAAAAAAAATTAGAAACTATTTCTACCAATAAATCTAACTCAAAGTATATAAAGCACAAAGTCGATTATAGCTGATAATTAATTTCGACAAAAACTAGTATAATATATATGCGCGATATATTGAAGCAATTAATCTGGTAAATCACTGAGTGTGCAACTAGTTATTCCAGTTGGATAAAAAAAACAGAAAATCAGATAACCATTAAG